CTTGTCTCATTAACAAAAGAGGATAATCTAATTTCTAATCTGCCGGCTCAGGCTGAGAATCACAACAACAGATACAGCAGCGCTTCTCTGAAGGACACATCGCTGGGGAAATAACAACAATTAGAGCTGCCAATCACCCAAAATGCCAGAAGATGGTTTTGGATGAGTTTCTGCTTGGTCGGGCAGTTATAAAGGGGGTACAGATAGAGACGGTGGGTGAGGGAGAGCAGAGATCATGAGATGTGCAGTATAATCACATCACAAATCTGTGCTTGCGTGAGCTGAGCCGCAGCGTAAAGACTGTTTTTGGAATTGAGTTTCAGCCTCAAGGTAAAATTGGATGAGTTTACCTCAGATCTCCACACATCTAATTAGTGTACTAGGTGGGAACTCACTGAAAACAGTCTGTTAAAGTACTGTAGTGCACAAACAATTAATAAAGTGATTAGTCAGGTATTTAATTGACAAACGTTTGATAGTTGATTGCTTGTTTAAAGTGTTTTTTCCGTTCCGTGCATGTAGGAGAATTCACGGTGGCCAAAAAACTCGTAAAAGGCCAGTGTTTGGTTTGTCCACTCTGGGCTACTGTAGAAACATTGCTGTTCAAAATGGTGGACTCTGTAGTAAATGTCCCTCTGTAGATAAAAACAGCTTATTCTAAGGTAACAAAAACACAACAATGCTTATTTTCAGGTGATTATACACTAATGAAAACATACCTAAAAACATACCTATATAATATATACCATATTATATTTAGTTTCTGCCAATAGATCCTCCTAAATGTTACACACTGGACCTTTAAGTCCTTTATTAACATTTGTTCTGTTTCATATTATTGTAAAGTGAATACATTTTGAAACATTAGATAAAAGGCATCTGTTACCAACATAATGAGGACATTTTTTAAAGCTAAGTTGTAAAATGTAGATAGTGGACATATTGGCAGAAGGTTCACTGACACCGACAATGTATTTCATTAGTTTTTTAATTTCAATACAATATCCCCACATCGCTTCTACACCACTGTTCAACAGTTTAATGGTTAAATTTAGGCACTAATAGCACCTGCTTAAGGTTAGGGAAAGGGCTTTGCACACCCACCATCCACTTCAACCACCTCTGCATAAATTGTGGCCGATAGAAAATGTAGCATTTCCTTCTCTGGAAAACATGTTGCTGGTGAACACGGCAGGCAGCAATTACCTTTCCTTTGAAAGCCAAACACCAAACAAATTAGTAGTACATAATTTTAAGGAGACCTTTGTGATATGCATTTTCACTATTTCTCAACACTGTCTGCATTAAAGATCCAGCGGGTAACATTTAGGAGGATGTATTGGCAGAAAGTGGATATAATATTCATAGGTATGTTTTCATTATTGTCTGATTATTTGTTGCAGAAAAAGGGATACAGACAGATTGAAAAAATAATCAAAATCAAAGAAGCATAATCCGTGAAGTCTCTAGAATGGGTAAAACCCCCAAAACCTAGATCCTATAGACACTGATCCTTCCCATAATGCAACTCAGTAGTTTCTTTGGTAGATCCTTCATGTTAGTAGACCACCCGTTTAAACTTTATAGCCCAAGATGTAAAGATTTGACTTGTTCTTTGTTCCCCAGACTTTGTGTGTCTTTACTGAAGCTAAGCTACTTATATTGCTTTATACCTCTAATGTGGAGGCTGGATTCTTGTTAAACCACAATGTTTTATTCTATTTCTATACATTTTATATAGTATATGTATAAAAGTATGGGTGTGGATGATTTTAGACATGAGAGAGTCACAGAAAATAGGCTTATGTCAGTAATGTAGCCATTTTTGCTGATGAGTAATTAGTAAACATTTTCAATAAAGTAATGAGTAAATTGTAACACTGGTACTAATCGAAGTGAACTTGATGTGTAAACTCAGTGTAGCGGCGCTTTAAGTACTCTTATGTCACCCTTACCACAGTCCTCTCCCCTCAGCGCTCAAAACTCTGCAATAAATTTCACGTATCAAGTTATCTCCAGGCTGCTCAATGATGTGCAGAATCACATACTAATACACTCCTCAGAAATATTGAACTCCGTAATTTATTTTCTAAATTAAATTCTCGGCATGCACACGATCGGCTTCTCATTTTAAAAGATTAGATTTAAAGATGAGCATCCTGCACAGGTTTACGGATTCTCGTTTTGAACTAAATTGACAACATCAGGCCATTGAGCGCGAAGCAATCAGAGCACACGAGGGGAAGATGGTGTTATGATCTCGCTAATGTGAATCAAAATGAAATCCAAGAGTCTGTCACATATCAGAGTGGATGCTGCAGTTTATCCATTACGTAGTTTTCCCCTAGTATACTATAAAGAGATCAGCCAAGGCTCATTAGATTGTCAAATGGCATATGAGACATTCTGCACAAGAGGCATGCATCATTAGAAATTCCTAATGCCTTACCTATTTCCTGGTATTGATCTTGAAGAAGCCTAATGCTAAAGCAGCCTGTCATCTTACTGCTTAAAAGACAAAGATAGACAGAGCCATTACTTTTTCTATTGTTTTGAGAAGTTGACTTCAAAAGGGTGAAAACCTCTGGTGTTGTCTGAGGCTTGGGAAACCGGAGCAAGGCAGGTGGAGCTGGAAGGGATGCAGGGATAGAGAGAGCGCTCAGAGATGGGAGATGGAGGAGTGGAGAGGGGAAGCCCTTTGATCTCTGGCAGAAGTGAGTGCTGAAGAAAAGACACAGAGAGCAGCAAAGAAGACTGCAAACAAGGCATGCACACAATTCCCAATAGTAGCACAAGCGCGAGAGGAAGAGACAGACAGAGGGAGGGAGACAGAAGGAGAAAGAAAAGTCAAGCAGATTGAGCGAGACAGAGAAGGAGAGAGAATGACAGGGTCAGAGAGAGAGAGAGAGAGAGAAGAAAAGAGGAGAAGAAAGAGAGGATGAAAATGAAGTAGAGGGAAACAGATAAGACCAGGATGTTAAAAGGATTTCAGTCCATGCCGTTTGGGGAGTTCTCTCAAGCCCTATGCTAAAGCAATTAGTATTGAACCCCTTCTAGGAAAGTGCAGCCAAACCACAGCAGAAGTCTCTAACATAGTTAGTGTGTAACAACCAAGTCAAGCAAACCCCACGGTCCCCATTAAACCCAAGTTTTAATTGGCATGTCAGGATGGTGCTGCGTTTCACAACCAATGAGTGTGCGCTCTGAAAAAGTTGGCCCTGTGAGTCTGCACAGCCCACTTCAAGTGGAAACCCCGAGACAGTAAACAGAGCGGCTGCGCAGGATTGAAAAGGCCTGTGCAGAGTGATAACAAAAGCTCAACATTAAATGTGAAAGGGATATATCAAAACAACTGTTACTAATATGGTTTCACTGTGAAGGAAAAGTTGTTGCCTACCTCTTTGTTGTCCAGGAGTTTACTCGAAACCAGTTCTTAAAGTTTACAACTGTCACTTCCAATTTATGTTAAAGTTAAAGAATGTTTAAGTAAGTTTGAGTGTAAACATTTTTAACTTTTGCTGTATTGCACAAGTTGTGACACGAGAGAAACAAAAACAACGTCAAACATTGGGTGACTGTACCCAGACTGTGAGCTTGAAGTACCCGTGGAGGGGTTTATACCATGAGCTTTGGAAAAATGATAAATAAATAGCAAATAAATAAATAACAAACTTTTCTTTTATCTTTGCTGTTCTTTGTGAAATACTGGATGATTTGACCTCTCTGGGCATCAAACGGTTAAAATGTCTCTTTGATCCGAACAAACCATAATCATCTGAAACATAACCACGCAGTTTTTTGGAAGAGGGCACACGCCAAAAAGGCAACCACTGGTTTGATCTTTGACAGTACATTGTATTTTATCATTTGGTTTGTTTTTCAAGTAAATTCATAATATGAAAAGTAACTCTTAACTATAGCTGTAAAGTAGTATTGTAAGTGTAGTAGAGTAGTAATGTAGTGGACAAGAATGAACAAGTAGCATAAACTGGAAATATTCAAGTAAAGTACAAGTATCTCTAAATTGTACAGAAGTACAGTAACTGAGTAGATGGTCTTCCACCACTGGTATCAACTCTCTCATCTCTCATCTCATCTCTCATCTAACTCTAACAAGAAGATTAAGAAGTTGTAGTTCCTGTGATGTCGAACTATTCCTTTAACAGAATTATCTAGAAGTAAATTGAAGCAAATATGCACTTGCTCCATTACGTTCACCTTCAGTATCAGCAGGGATTGTATTTTGCCTCCAGTGCAGCCTCAGTTCTTTAAAGCAACAATTCAGCAGGGAAATGCTGATTTGACAGCGTCACATAGTTCCTGCTGACTTTTATAATATATCTGCTTCCACCGTGAGAGCAGGTGTCATTTCACTGTTCAGTCATTCACTTTAGGCAGTCACCTGCCTCGTGTACCTTCATCCTCCTCCTCTCAGCTGACAGCAGTTGAACCTCAGTGTCTCCAGCTTTGACTATATGAACATTTCTCACAGTTTCACTGTTATTTTGAAGACGTCCGTTAGCCAGAACCACTCAGTCTCCTCTGACCTCTCTCATCTGTGAGTGCTTTCCAGGACCACTGCTGACTGGCGTTTTCCTCTCTGTGAATATAAGCCATCGCTGACTGCAGTGCGCCAAAATCTCCGGAGGCTGTCACTTTCTGGAACAACATGTCTGGCACCGACAGCCGCACAACATCTAAAGTCACTTTAACAACACATCTCTGCCATTCTAACATTTAGTTGAGCAGCAGCTGAGCGTCTCATCCTTGTCTGCACGCATTATGCTTCTTCTTTATTTATATGTGACTCACCGTCTGGAGGAGTGAGCTGCTGACGTGAACAGGGATGTGTAGCCAAGAAAGTGGAAACTGACTGTCTTGATTTTAGGACATCAATTATCAGTTTAAAACTGTGATTATGATGTTTTTCTTTGTGCTAGTTTAAAAAAAAAAAAACATCTTGTCTGTGTAAGATTGGGCAAACTGTGCCCACTGCTTACCTTGGAATATGGCAGCATTCTGGATGATAAGACGTTTGAGTTGAGCACTGACAACCTGCAGACCAGACTCCATGTTGCTGCGTGCAGCTACCTGATACCGCTCCTCCATCTTCTTGGAACAGCAGGTCGGGCCTTTGGGTTGGCAAACCTGCAGATCCGCACCTGGCAGGAAATCAACAGAGACAGGACAAGAGTCTGGATGAGCAGAGGGAAGGAGCCGCAAAGCTACTTTTGTTTCACTTTCATAGAACAGATGCCTCTTCCTTAACACACAAAAAAAGATTCAGCTGTATCATCTGCATGCTAAACACAGGGAAACACTATCTATAGCAGATTCTGCAGCCTTAATGAGCATGTGATCATTATGTAGAGGCTGCGTTATTTAGCAGGGCTGAAGTCAAAAATAAATTGCGCCTAAAAATGAGTCATTTTGATGCACATTCAAGCAGTACACCAAGGCTATGTTGTTCTCCTCAGAGATCAATTTGGTCAACAGAAACTTTCCCACCACTCCAGGCTACACTTTTCACACAGAGGATCAAAAAAAGTATTTTCTTGGCGCAAACATGAGAGCCAGGAGCAGTTCAGCGTGCAGACAAACATACCCAGGTTTCAGCATGCTTTCACTATATATGAAATTAAAAAAACAGCCATGAGAAGGATCGAAGGTGATGAAATAACATTTCTGCATCTGGCCACTGACACTACAAGTTGTTTACACAATTAATTGGATTCCCAGAGCTCTTTTGAAAGGTGTAGATGTAAGCTTTGCAAAAGCGAAATTAAGGTTACGCGAATGTGTCATTGGGGCCATGTAGCTATACACACTGGATCAAAGAACAAACGCCCAGAAGAAGTTATTTCCATTGGAAAGAATCCCAGAAAAGAGTGAGATAACGACTATGAAGTTGGAATTCAGTCAGATCAAGGATAGCAAAGGTGCCTCGGCTGCTGAAACAGTGATGGTGAATGTACCGCAGCTTTGTGTGAAGATACTCTGAAGGACATCTTTGACAAAGAGCCTTTCTTCCTTGTTTGTTATGTGAACATGTATTTTCTCACAATATCACATAAATGCTGCAAAAAGTAAAGAAAAAAAACATTATAAAAGTTTAAAAAAGAGAGTATATTGAAGTAGTGATCTGCAGTATGACTTTGTATACACTATTTGTATTGTCACATTTTGTTTTGTTGGGGACAGAAAAGGGGGGGAGAAAGAGAGAGGGGACGACAAGCAGAAAAGGACCACAGGTTAGACTCAAACCCATGACCGCTGCAGCAAGAACTTAGCCTTGATACACGGACTCCAGCACTACTAAGTGAGTTACCAGTGCACCTACCAGTATGGCGGTATATGGAAAATTCACATCATATGGGGAAATTAAAACCAGTATACCGGTAAATATGGTATACTGCCAAGCACTATACTGCAGTTAAAACTAATGGGGTTTTTAATTAAAAAGGGAAGCACACACATTTATGTTGCAGTTATCACCATTCAGTGTCAAAACACCTCTAATGAAAAAGAAAGGTCCAGTGGAATAAACGCTTTCTATAAACAAGCATATTCCCAAATCATTGCTCTAAAACGATGCACACGCAAGACATCACACAGACATAAATAGGGCACAACCATCTGATGTTTAAATACAAAGAGGAGTTTCCTCTCCTTAGTGCTTCCCCCTCTCTCTCTGTCCCATGTGGCTGTTGAAAGCTTCAGCCAAGGCTGCAGTTGTAACGTGCCAAGCTGCGTCGAGGAGTTGTCTGCAGGATCTGCTGCCTGAGAGGCGTCAGTGACAAGGGCCTGATTGATGGTGTGGTAAACAAATGTCAGGGGAGTCTGCCAGCTTTAGCTGCCATTGTTTGGGGAGCGAGGATAAGGAGGCGGAAGCATAGAGATTAATTTGGAGGGAGGGTGCCGAGTGTGAATATACATATATATATATATTTATATTTTAGAAAAGTCTTGATAAAAAGTGTGTCAGAAGACAGAGGAAAGGCTTTTGTCGAGGCGAAGGCTTTATCTTAATATGAAATGTGAATATCTCTATTGGTTTGAGTCTTTGTCTCTTTGAGATCTTCAAACAATCGATCTTCAGAAACAGAGCTCAGACTGTAACAATGAAAACAGCAGGCATGGAGGGAAGTTAAACTAGTAGGAGATGCAGCAGAGTGACAGTCTTGATAATTAATAAGTAGTGAGGAGTCAAACGGAGAACAGCTTCGGCTAACTCCCTTCTGACTCCCATGGCGGTTTAAGTCTAATGAGTGAAACAGGCAATAAAACTGTCACGCCGCACCTTTTGTATGCATACTGACAGGCTTAATATCTTAAATCAATACCGACAAAGGACTCCTGACAGATAAGATCAAGTTAATTTCAGACTGCAGGGGCAAAATTATTAAGCTGTCAATAGCACCATAGGTGAGGTGAGCGCGGCCGGTGCAGAAAAGAGACGAGGATTTAGCAATTATCTCTGCCAAAACAGACACTTTCATCTGCACGTTTGTCGTTTTGCAGATGATAAATGCGTTTCATTACAGAAGTTCCACAGCGGTGCGGAATAAGTGAAGGCTTCGGCAAGAAAATGATTCCCCGTAGAGTTTCACAAATAATAAAATCACACCGTCTAAATAAAGCCTTCTTTCTGACTGACAGATCACTTGGGAATAAGCTTCCTGAGTCTCCTCTTTGCTTTAGGCTCAGCTCTCTTTCTCCTCCCCCATCGTTTTTTTATTCCTTGTCATCCCTGCACAGTTTTGTTCTGAGCTTGTTTCACTTCACCTACCTTGAGCTTAATAGCTATCGGGCACAGAGAGCACCTTTCTATCAGTCTATTATTGGTTAATTAGTCGATTTTGTGTCCTGATGGCCAATTCTCTCAAAGAAAATGAAGAAAGACAAGGTGGTGGGCTAGGAGCAATTTAGATGTAAATTTCCCCAACATACAATCTCAGTCCAAGGTGACGCCTTTAAATTATTACGTACTTTCAATCAATACTTTGAATTGGTGGGCCAGACAATTCGACATGCAGAACAGCTGCTGTTTTCAAGAGCGTCAAGGTCTTTGAATGCCTTTTTAGAAACACATTGATCGCCCTTCAGCTTTATGTGACAGTCCTTCGCTGATTCTCTCATGACAGAAAGTTTCTGTTGAAATGCCAAGGGTGAAAACTCCAGCAGGGGCTCAAACAGTCCTGTGTACACAAAGACGAGAGGTGTCCCCCTCCTCTCTCTTCTTTAACAAGCTCGGGGACTCCAAGCCGAGGGAACGGGGACAGCCACAAATACAGTACGTTTCTCTTACTTTCCCAGTACCAATTAGAAAGCTATCACTATGCAAGTTTAATGATGGAGACCATGGGGGAAAAACAAGTTGTATTAAGATATAGAATATGTTAAAAGCTGTTCATTATGAGCATAAATTATACATCAACTACCAGAGTTGAGTCAAAGCATGTGGGACTCCTTGGCTTCCTCTCCAGGGCAAAATAAGCCAGTGTCACTTTGTAGAGACAATAAATGAAATAAAGATTTACAACCAACCTAAGGAATAATAATATCATTAGCTACTGGGGATGACAATTGTTTTAAGTATTTTTAGTGCTTTGCTCACTGCTCTACTTTAAATCGTTTGATGAAGCAATAATTTGAAAGCTGGAAGCATGAATGTGAAAGAGCCTTTTTTTCACACAAAACAATGAGGTAGCAAACACGAGTGCCCTTCATTAAAGAACAGAATAAACAAAACACAAAACAGTGCTTAGTAAGACACAAAGACCTCTCGCTTCAGGTTAAGTTGATCCCACCTATTAGCCGCTGTCTGCTGGCATTTAAACAGCAACAGCGTTTGTTCTCTGTTGCTCAGATTTTCATGATAAACAACAAGCCCTGATGACCTGTCCCGACAGCTAATTACTGGGAAGTCTCCTGGATTTTTTTTTTTTTTTTTTTTGCATCCTGCTAAACAACATGAAATTATAATTGTTTCAGCTCAGAGAGAAAAAACAACTCTTCCTTTGCTGGACCACTGTTGCTGTGGTTCCTGTTGAAATAAGTGGCAGCTGTCAACCCTGCCTCCAGCAAACTAGTATTACTCTTCCACTTAGTGAGAATCTGATGCTCCGCTCATGAATCAGGTCAGCCGCTGCCGTCAGAGATCCACCACCACATCCTCCGCTCACAACCACCGCTGACACTGATCGAGCAGCTTTCACACTCATGTCCCGGGGTAAGTGCTCAGCGCTGCTCATGCGCCTCCTGCACATACGAAACGATGGAGTGGACTGACACCAAGCCTCCATTTCACCTTCAGACACTACAACCACCCACAGCAACAGCCACAACAAAGACAAGAGTGGTACTCCTACAGCACAATTTTTTGTTTTTTAATGTTGTTTCTCTGCACTCACTCCTTTTTGAATCATGTTGGTGGAAAGAAAAACTTTAGTTTTTTTGGTGTTTTGCCCCCTGGCACCACATGCAGCATTATTAGAATTCTGCTCTGCCTTCCTGCGGACATCTCTCTGAATCAGCAGCCTCCCCCACACAGTATCAATACAGGCTACTTCACGTCTCCCCATCACACACAAAGAAAGTGATACTTCCCCGTCAATTCACAGCTAAGCCACCCTCAACATTTAATTTCATCAATCTTTCATTTGCTGTATGCCTCAATGAAGAACTTGTGTTACACAACAAGCCCGCTGTTTTGCATGTATTCGCCAAATTTTTTGAGCAAGCAAAGTTCAGAATAATTACAGAAGATGTAACTGTGACTGAAAACCTTCAACTTATTCTGTATAAATTAACGACAAGGATGTATAATGGATGAGGCATGACAAGAAAAAAAAAGGATAGGACCAAAAATGTAATAAATATATGAGAAGTGGCTGCATATTTCATGCTTTTGAAAAAAGTCAGCTCATTAAGACAAACGTGGAAGAGCTAGGATTTATGGAGATCCTACCTAAAGTACAAGCCTTGGGCCATAACTCTGTCTCATCCTGGATATTACTTTTGAAAGTTTGATGTATTGCTTAAATATTGTCCAGAATGATGATAGGCATGTCAATGTCAACACTGGATAACATGCCTGGAAATTTAATGTCACCTTCTTTTGTAAAAGAAAGCACATTTTTCCAGTGAAAGAAAAATATTATTTATTTAGCAATAGAATGAGATTTTAAAGGCTTTTGAAAATAATGAAATATTTTCTGTATGTGGATCTACACAGAAATCCTCCACAAAACCTGCATATATTATTGTGTATAAGAATGAGTGAAAGCAGTGAATGTGATCATTGTTGATGATGTAATATTTGGTAACTATTTATGCAAAACAGTAAATCATATTAGATTATTCCGGTGGTTCGGGACCCTCACACACAGACACAAGAGAAAGCAGAAAATGCACACTTACGCTCCATTAAACTGTGTTTATTTTCTCAGACTTTCCTCTAATTTGTGCTTATTTTCCTGTGAATTACTGTTTAATTTTACCCTTGAAAATGATCCATTTAACACTCTTTGGTTACAACCAGTAGGAATATGCAACCACGAGTAGACGGCTCTTTGTTTAATGGAGCTACGAGCCAAAAAGGTTGGGAACTGCTAAAATGAATTTTACAAGGTTAACATCACTTCTCTCTGGATTCGTGCCTTATCGTTAATCGTTAAATGTTGGCGCTAATGTGAAGAGACTTCTCTAATTTACTGTATGAAAGACTTCCTGTGGAACAGCCAAGGCCATGTGACATCCTCGCTGCAGGCCTTGCTAAATTAATTCAAGTGATTTGGGGATATGTTTTTAAAAAAAAAGTCTTTTCCTTCGCAAATCTAAACACGATAGAAATATTTTTCAATTTAATCTGTTGCAAGCCATTTCTCACTCACTTTGTTTTGGCTGTGACTCCTGAAATCACATTATATTTTGCTACAGTTGTTCCTAAAGTGGGGTCTTTGGAAAGTCTGCAGAAAGTCTGCAGAAAATCAGGACTGTTTAATTGTTTAGAAATCTGCAGTTAACACATGTTAGGAATGTAAAGAGCATTTCTTTCTCCAAGGTTTAAAGGTGTGTTTAAGTGTGTAACATTTAGGAGGATCTGTTGGCAGAAATGTAATATAATATTCATAGATATGTTTTCATTAGTGTATAATCAGTTGAATATAGGAACTGTTAGAATGAGCTGTTTTTTTATCTACAGACTCAGTGGGACGCCTTCCATATAGTCCACCATATTTCTACAGTAGCAGGTTTCACCGCCACACTGATCCTTTATGTGATGTTGTGATAGCAACAATTAACACAAATTCAACCAATCCCTGCAAATTCTGCGCAACCGTGCAATGTTGTCCAATCATTGTAGTTTCCTGTGCAAAAACCCGCTGAGCCATAAGTCACCAAACTCACTGTATTGTTTCAGTGTGATTTTATTCTCACTCAAACAAGTTGGAACTAGTGTTGCAATTTTCACTTTCTCCTGCAAAAAACATTACAACATGCATCAGAATTTTAACAATCCAAAAAAAGCCTGTGAAATCCTGCAGGGACTGATTTATATCTAACTACAAAACTCTTCCTCACATGTGGCTCAAAGGCACAAGTGTTGAAACCTAATAAAATTTGTTGTTACATTGGGAATCTTATCAGTGGTTTTGAACTTTTTTGGGCATTAAGGACCCATAAATTGATACACATTAGGCCTCAGACCCATCTTTGATCAGATGTAGTCTCAGGGATCCCTGTATGATAAGATTTAGTTAATCCATAACTGTCTAGACGGGCAGTTTAACAGTGAAAAGTGTGAAACCTATGAATAAAATAGTCATTATCACACACTATATCACTTAATTAAATAATGGTCAAATTTAAATATTCCACATTTCTCCGGGGATCCACTTGAACCCCTTAAAGGACCCCTGGGGGTCTCCAGACCACAGGTTGAGGAACACTGCTTTATATTTAACCCATGTGTTTCGTTGACATTGGCTTTTCTTCCTCACCGTTGCGCGACTGTATGTGTAATAAAACTAACAATGGTTCAATGGTTGGTTTTTCCTTGAAAATATTTTTTCTCATTAAAACCCAGTATGTAGAAAATAAAAGTGATAACCTTCCTCTTTGATACAAACTAATTTGATGAAGAAAAGACTGAAATGAACAGGCAACTTTTCATTACACCGAGTAAGGAAAATAGTTAATCTTTTTTATATGTTATGTGCGATGTATGAAGCTGTCTAGCACGATGGTTCCCAACCTTTTTATTCTTAAGGGAATCATTGTCATTGAGTAAACTGATGACCACTGACTATGTTTTGTATTTTATTGATATTTCATATTACATTCAGTGTAATGTTCATTCAGTGTATTACATTCAAATAGTTAATTTTGTGTAAAACAAGCTGAATTTGGATGAATTTTGAACAGATTATTTCCTGTAAATATTCTATCAGAGATGAGTTTTCCTGATATTTTTAGGAACTTTTTATTAAATTCTCTATCTGTGTTATTTTTTTTATTTAAAAAAAAAAATCAAATAGGCATCTTTTGTTCTCATTGTTCAGTCAGTTTTTTGATTGTTTTAACTGTGTAACTCTAGTGCAGGCCAAGGTTGTATAGTTGACAGTGAAGGCTCTATTAATTCAGCTTATTCTTCAAAGTTTAGATCTTAAATAGTAATCTAAACTTAAAACTAAAACTAAATTAAAGTAAAAATAGCTGTTTATCAGCTGTTAAGATGGCCTCGCCACCCCCTGTGAAGCTTTGGTGACCCCTAGTGGGGGTCCCAACCTCATGAACATACCCTAACCAAGATGTTATTTGAGCCTAAACTTCACCAAACCTTAACCACAGTCTTGTAAAATCAAAAAACGATTGTTGAATCTCAGGTAATAATCTGTAGGCAGTTTATCCACATACAGTGTAACTCCTGAAGGAAATGTTTAGAGTCAATTAAAACCCAGAGAGATGTAATTCCCTGTTAGACTTCAGATGGAAAGCTTTTAGAAAACCTTAATAAAACAGAAATCCAAATGGACTAATTTGTGAGTGAACACCAATCTATATCTATATAATATGAAAATGAAGTGTTTCTAACTAGATTTTACATCTGGGGTCTCTGAGACCCAAAACAGAAATAGTGCATCGTTTTATTTAGCAGACGTAATTTCTAAATCATGTTTATAAGCCCATAAAATTAGCAATTATCATCCGAATGATAAAACAATGATTGGGTGTTTTGTGAACTGTTTAAGAGGACGAGTATTCAGGGTAAATGCATGAATCTGGTGCTTTATCATCAGTCACTTACTGAACAACCATCACTTAATAAAACCAGCAAATAAATCTGCTACAGAGTAGCCATGGGCCTCATGTGTAAACCAAACTACCTCTTAACTGGCCAGAATGAATTGTCCTTTGGCTGACTGGTGAATTGATTTCCAGTGTAATGGTTCTGAGCTGCCTGGTGTGCAGAGTGTCCAGCTCAGACTGATTCCTCAGCGAAGGTGCACAGACAGCTGGGCTGCTCTGCCTCAGATTCAGGGGGAGGTTGAATATTTCTCTTGGCCTGCTACCATGATCCCCCCTTTGGTGTGCAGATAAAATGTTTGATGGCCTAGGTGGAGGGTGTGTGATTAAAGATGGATGCATAGGGATATATAGGACTCAGTGGTTGGAGCTGCGTGCACCCACAGAGGAAGCTTGACAAAATATGCTTCAAAGTGCATCGCAGATCTCTCCTGCTGTTTGATTTGAAGCATTTTGTGATTTGTAACGCTCTTTCATGTTCGCAGAACATTTAGTATTATTTGGTAAACCGCTTTGAATCAGGCGGGAGTGAGGTGTGTGAGAATTGCATGCTGAGAATGGAGAGAGAAAACTGTTAACCTGGAGCACTTGCGGGTGCTGACATGACACTAAAACACCCAATTAACATTTGCAGCTGGCTGTGATTCAGCCACATGAGAGGGATCTACATTTACATACTGAATCAGAATGCATGCAACAGGCTCCAGCGGTACAACAACATGCTGTGTTCTGCAAAATAGGATGGTGGATTCTGGTTGTTCCTCTATCCCACAGAGACCTGAACTATTTCACCATTGGCTCAGGGTGTTTTTCCTCACGTCTCTAAAAGGCACTTTTCTTAAGACACGTTGCTTCCTCATCCCTGGCAGTGTCGGTGACATTTGGGCTCCGGGGAACAATAATTATCCTGTTTGGATAATTGCATCTTTTACAAATATGCTTTCAGTGCAGTCACAATTCATATCACACCACTGATCTATATTCTGTGACAATGTGGTTAAGGAAAAGCTGCCAAGAGACCAGCCTGAATGCGACTATCAATCTCATAAAGGAAGAGTGCTGATCTATTAAGTTGTGTGCAGTCCATCTTCATTTACAGAACAAAACTCAACAGAAGATTCAAACCCACATACACAAACACCTGCAGAAAGATGCTCATATCTGCTTTCACTAACCAAATTAAAGTTATTCAGGAAAGGTTACTCCGTGTTTGGATCAATAGTGGAGCAAATCAATTCAGTAAGCTTGTTATTTACCAGTTAACTGATGGTTTATATCATTCAACCTGCATATTTAACGATATGCTTAACGTGGCCAATCGATTTTTCTTTCTTTTTTTTTTCAGGGCAGGTTAGTAAGTGCTCAGCCAGAGGGATGGAGAGTGTGTGTGGGTTGGCTCTCGCTGCTCATACTGAAGGAGTCAGCAGCCTTGAAATAGGGAGGAAAAAGGCTTGATGGCGTTAGAGAACTGTTGTAACCACAATGCTTTCTGAAACTGAATCTGAGAGCTTGCAGTCAAAGGTGAAATGGTACAAATCTATTCTATCCTGCAGAAGTGCAGACAATCTAAGGATGCAGCTACCAGACATATTGTGGGTAAAACGTGGAGCTAAATGTACAAGTTAATGACAGTTTACCTGACACCGGGTTTTCGGGGACCCACTTGGATCCCGGATGCAGAGAGTGAAACACTGTGCGCACCTCCTGGCAGTTTGGCACCTGTCCGCCGAGCAGGGAGAACAGCTGGAGGAAGGCGCACAGAAAGAGCGCACTGTGGACTGATGGACCGACCATGGCAGGCGAGCAGCACTGAGCCAAACCGGAGAGAATAAAAGATAAACTTCAACACATTCAAAGTTACAGGAGGATCCCGTGTTTGCGCTGATGAAGTGAAGCTGCAGCTCCCGGCTCAGCTCGGATCAGCATCCTTCCGCTTCCACCCCTCCTCCTGCTCGCTCAACAACACTCCGCCCGCCTGGAAAGCTGCTCGGTTAAGCCTCTTGGTGAAGCTACTCCGTTGCTGATAACTTATGAGTCCCTCTCCACTTGCGGCACTGACTCTCAGCTCTCTGCACAGACGAACGAGCCCCAGATACATGCGCGCGCTCCCCAACAAAAGCGCGCCACGGCGTGAACCTGCGCGTAAAAAGATCCTCTCCCCGCTCGTGTTATAGTACAGTGATGTGAGCTGATACACTGGCTCTGTGCGGCTGCAGGAGTGGAGATATAAGGAGGGGATTAATGCAGGGCACGAGCTGTTGTCGTGTTAGATGAATGGCGCTATATGTTATGGGATGCAATTAGGGCACAGTACCTGTGTAGTTTAGTATTCGCACAACAGAGGCGCGTAATGTGGCCAGGAGATGCACATATATTACAATTTAAATGACCCATAGGCAACGAATGTGAAAACTAGCTTTTATTATTCAACCATATAGAGGAAACTGTACAGAGAGCAAGTGAAACACTCAGAAATCACTAAAAACACAACAAAAGTTAACATTCTTCAATAATTACATAGATCTAATTCAAAAACATAACGGCATTTTATTTTACAATGCTTATTTCATCTTCTTCTTATCTTGAGTGGACATTTATTTCTCTTGCATTCAGCTCCAAAGAGGCAATAAAGTTGAAATGGTGCCACCTAGTGTTCAGTGTGCATGTCAGACACCAGAGAGGGCAACATTTATAAGTCATCCTCTCTGCAGGCTGAACAAAGTCACGCAAAAGCACATACATCAAAACGATGTGTCTACTATGTTTCCACACAGATTAGTGCAATCTAATCAAGTGTGTAGCTGCTCACAACATCTGGCGGATTGCAGATGGATACTGTGCAATTTCTTTTTATTTTGTCAAGTATTGAAATTGTGAAGTCATCCATCTGAAAACAGCGAGACAAACCGCAACGTCAAATAAACTTACTGTTGAGATACCTTAACATGACTGCAACAGAGAGGGGGGAAAAAAACAGCATCTGCTCTCTTGTGCCTGCGGTAAATACAATTTTTTGTGTTTTAGAAAGCTTTCAAAGCTTGGAACAACAGAAAGCAAAACCCATATCTCTTCCTTTGGCTGCATGTCTGAGAAACAGAGAGCTTTGCATGGATTTGCACAGCAGAGACTGGCAGAAGCTGAGAGCAAACCAACAAAACTCGCTGTAAAACCCACCAGAGCTCCACCTTCAAGTGTAAACAGGCTGATGAATGAGGTAAGGTGACCAGCAGTACCTGAAGTGCACAAACTGCAGTAGATCAGCCTGCACTACCTGCACTGTGAGCACTTTGGAACTGCAAAGTCGACAACACATTCGGCTTGAGAGTCAGAAAGTCATGAGTCACTGAAGATGTATGGAGGAAAAGATCTGTGCACAAACAAGCTGATAAATGCTGGATGGCAATTTATTCACCTTCCTGATTATGTAACAAGATATTCAAATGATGAATATACAAGCGTAACTTACATAACTAAACCATATTAGTATTCTAAGAAAGACATGAGGTATTTCATCACAGAGATAAAGTCGTTTTTGGGGCAAACGTTGTGAAAAATATTTGCGACCCTGATGAAGAACAAGCCCTCCAGCCAGAAGGAGCAACTAGGGCAGTAGATATGAACTACTTCACTAACTACACTAGATGCACCTTAGCTGGAGGACCATAAGAGAGGCCGGGGATGTTAGAGGAGACCGACCAAGTACTTCCAACTCCTCCGGGCAGGACACTTCTGGTCCGCACCATCTGAAACAGAACAAAATTGGGAGAAATAAAGAGAAACATTTAAACTCATTCTATACTTCATTACTGGAGAATGAATAGATGCTTTCCAAGCTGCAGCTGTGTTACAATCAGGGATGTAGCTACTCCAAGATAAACCAAACTTCTACTTACACATACATGACAAACATTAAAAAATCATTTGAAAAGATGCAATGATCATAGACCAACAAAGTCTTCAAAAATGTTCCAAAAAAAATAGAAATTGACTTTTGTAGGACCATGCAGACGTGCAGTACACAAATTGACCTATATTCAACTTAAAGCTGACAGTGATGGAAGACAAACCCTTTCTTAAGTAGTAATACCACAATGTAGAAATATTCTTTAAAAAAACTCCTGCAGTCACATTGGTACTTAAGTAAAAGTACATTTTATTGTTGGCAAAATGTATCTAAAACATAAAAAGGAGAGTTATAACTGAGCATTATTATTTTCAGATACATGTAGTGGAGTTAAAAGTACAATATTCCCACTGAAATAAAAGTATAAAGTAACATAAACTGTTAAATAGTTAAGTACAAGAACCTGACTGTACTAATAAATGACTAATTGTGCTTCGTTCATTCTCCACAGGTTTCACTGGTTGTCCACGCAAAGCACACACGAGGTCCGAGTTTTAACTTCGAGGCTCCATCTTCAAAAACACCAACACAAAGTTACAACATTACAAATAGTTTTATATTGTTGTCTATAAGCTTCTATCTGTAAGTGGAGGCCGTATTTACTGAGTTATAAAGAGCTCGTGTGCAGCTTTAATAAAGTGGCGCCAACGGAGTCTTGTGATGTGACGATGCGCGTGTCAACTCCCGTCAATTAAATAATGGATCTCAATGGTAATCACATCCGCGTTTATTCAATTACGTAACTAATACAAACCGTGGCAGCTGGTCAACAGTGGGTGGGTGAGTTTGCCACTCTTTGCGGATTATTAAAATAGATCCTGGATGAGCGCAATGTGCCAATACACCCAACAAAGACCTGAATAAATCTAATATAAGTAAACAAACAATTTAAGCTATTGCAACTCTTAAGGGTACAGATTAGGTCGACATTTAGTTTAACTATTACAAATTAAAAAGAAAAAACTGCAGAATATGCATTAAGATTAGCGCACAAGACGTGTTGCACATGCGCCCTGTTCTCCTTTAACTCCTCCGCGCTACGATAAAGCGAAATAACCCCAAAACAACAACATTTCTTCACATAATTCAAACTTTTAGAAACAGAAACAAACACTCCTTAAGCACTATAATGACCACATGCGTTAATCTGCCATTGAATAAAGAGGGGAGAGCTGCAGACAAGCCTACCTTTGGTTTGTGTTGAGGTTTGTTCAACTGAACGATTTGCTACCCATCATGCAGAAAACAAACTCCCAATATCGCTATACGTACCTTAGCCCGCAGATGTTGTCCCCTCTGCAGCCCCCTTTGCCACCCCTTTGCACAAACAAAAAGTTCTGTCATGCATGAAATTGTGAGAGCATCTTTTTTGTTGTTTTTCTCTTTGTGGGGGTGGGGAGAGGGGCGCAGGCGAGGCAATCTTTTGCGGATGTCGTCCTTGAAATCCTCTCACAAACATGGGATTCCTCGGAGGTTTTTCTTTGGGCATCAAATGGGGACTTTTCTTCTTCTGTGGCATCCCTCCTCACCTTAAAAACCTCCTGCAAACTCTGCAAATGTGCACAGTGCAGTGCGGATAGCTTTATTAACCCACCTCGCTCATCCATCCAGCGCTTTTTGCTGGTCAAAGAAACGCAGGAGGCTTGTGACCTTTAACCCGTGTAAACCCTGCCCCCACATTGTCTTCTGCTCTGTCTACAGGACCACGTCCCTCCACGCCTCATATGCGGACAAATATCACTCAGTAACATTGTTTTTTGTGCACCAGTGAAGTTTGCGCAGAGCCTAACCAGCGAGGCTGAGAGGCGCAGAGGCTTTCCAGAGCATGGTGGCACTTCCTCCACTGTGGGAACGGGCTGCAGCGTTGCCTTACATGCCTTCTTCCCCGATTGAACTTTAACCTACTTTCCCATACCGCTTCTATAGGCTGCGATTGGTGGAGTTTAAGGGGAAAGAAAATTGCAGCTGAACCCCTCGCTCTTTTTTTTTTTGGCTTTATTCTTTCACGTCCTTCAATATGTTTGGTCTCGTGAAGCCTGCCAGCGATAGAGGAAGAGGGTTAATTATGGTCAGGGGACATTTTGAGCTCATTTAAAGAGAACGGGTTAGTTCATGGGTGGAAGATCATTTTGCATTATGAATTCAGTTGTTAAATTAAAAAAAGCTGGGTCTGGTGGAGTCATAATGATGGTTTTTTTGGGGGGTTTTAGTAATTTTGCAGGCATTATAATTGACCTCCACACAGACAATAGGCCTGCCAGTCTATTGAACAGGCCTCTTGTTGGATACCTCCTGGTAGGGTGGAATGTGTCCTAGTGTTTTGAACTGAGCTGACACTGCTGCTCCACACTCAGTTACTACTGGGAGGAGGGGGTTATTTTTAGCAATACTCATCTGCGCCACTGGATAAATGAGTTTGACAAGATGTAAGCAGTGACTGACCTTGTCCAGAATGATGTTCTGGAGATAAAACAACATTTCAATGTATTGCATTACAATCACCATATATTTATTATATTTGAGCCTTGGTTATAAGTTGTTTATCATCAGGGGAAAAAAAGGACTATATACACTATATTACTGACTGCAGGGCTATTTCAATGGTTTATTGAATACTCAACATTTTGCAGAGAAACTACAGCCCAAAGTACAGCAGCAACTTACTAAGTTTATCTTTCGATTATTATTTTGATTATAAAAAGGTCAGAAACACTACAAAAAATGCCCAACAGAATTAGCCGAATCCTAAGGTGCTATATTCAAATTGTTCTGTATCCAACTAACCCAGAAGTAAACTTAGATTCTGTTACATGTACTGTTCCCAAAGGTCAAGAATGACCTTCAGTGCTCAACAATATTCAGATTGCAAGCATATAAAACAGCAGCAAATCCTCTGAGTAACCATCATCAGCTGGCAATTAAATGTCATCAATTAGAACGATTAGGTTGTCTTTCCCCAGCAGACGCAACAAAACTAACAACTGTTGAAGCCACACAAAAATAAATTGCCATAAAGTTTTATTTTCATGAATGCTTTCACACTTTTATCCTTTATAAAGTTATGTACACATAATTTGCCCCCATGGAAAATAAAGAAAATATCCAGAGAGTGGAAAGAGAAGGGAAAAAAGGCAACAGAGTAAAAAAAAAAAAAAAAAAAAAAAGAAAGTAAAGCACAACAAATATTTAAACATAAATCTCTAAATCATGAAATATATTGATCTTAAGGAATTTGTGTTGATGTCTACATAATATTGCCAGTGATTCATATAGTCATAATTAGAGGTAGGGTTATAGAAACATGAAATGCTTTGTTTGTA